GGAGAAGGAAAACTTCTGGTTGGGGCAAACACGAGTTTCCCGAGCCCTGGAGGATGGTGGCCTTCTGGTTTCCATGTGGGTGTCAGAGGCAGAAAATGCACCATTCATAATGAGCCAGGACCGGCTCACTCTCAGGGGGATCAGCCCCTTCTGGATCTGCCCTGTCTTCACTCCCAAATGGGCTTTCAGCGTGTCTTCTATGTATTTCTTGTCCATGCTTCCTGGTAAGTCATTTCTGCTCTCCCTCTCTGTGGGCCTTGTCAGGTTTCTCTCTGGCTTCTGCAAGATCAGGCCCTGAACCATCCTGGGGGAGCTTCCTAAGTCCCAGGAGACATCTTTTGGGGCCTTGGATAGAATATGCCCAAAAGTCCTGCCCAAGTCCTGCCTCAACTGGAACCTCACCTTCTGTACATCCCTGCTGCCTTCAGCTACAGACAGGGATGAAGGAGAGGACCCAGGCTTGTCTTTGCTGCCTTCAGCTGTAGACATAGATGATGGAGAGGGCCCAAGCTTGTCCTTGCTGCCTTCAGCTATAAACAGGGATGAAGGTGAGGGCCGAGGCTTGTCCTTGCTGCCTGTAGCTGTTGACATGGATGAAGGAGATGACCGAGGCTTGTCCTTGCTGCCTTCAGCTGTAGACATGGATGAAAGACAGGGTCGAGGCTTGTCCTGGGCCTGACATGAACGAGTCACATCACAGTGAGGCCGTGTGACTTCTGCAGCCTCCTGGATCTTGCCGAGCAGGTCTTGATGGTGTTCAGTGATCCACTTTTGGATATGCTGCTCCAATGTTTCCCTGAGCTCAGGGCTGATTGAAAAACTCTCAGGAAATGTGGCAGCAGCACACCTGTCCTGTTGAAGGCCTCTCCTGGACAACGTGGAGTGGCTGTCACCCTCCTGAGACCTTTGGACTGCTGAGGACACAGCCCGTGCCCTCTCTAATTGTTTCTTGGACAAGGGTTTTCCTGAGGGTTGAATTTCAGTTGGGATGGGAGCCTGTGGCTTACTATGGGATGTAGAGCCAGCTGTTCTACTGTCCCTGTTGCAGGACAGACAAAATGGTGACAGGATTGGGGAAGAGGACAGGGGGTGGGTTCGAGTCTGGACATGATCCAGAGGTGGGGGCTGGAATCGGGGTGGAGATCGGGGTCCCAGACAGGGTGGATCCTGGGCCTGGGAATGCAGCAGGGACATTTTATCCTTCATGTGAACTGGGCAAACATTTAAAATTTTGTTAAAGAAGAAGGTGGGGAGATGTGGAACAGGAGGGTCCTGGGCAATCCAGGCAGCAGCTATCAAGGATTCGCTGTGCAGGGAGGGCAGACCCCAGAAAAACTGGCTCCATTTCTGCCCAAAAGGGATCCCCAGGATCTTCAAATATGACAGCTGGTGAGGACTGAGCGGCTGATCTGGCCTCTCTTCTGTGTCCCATGAGGGTTGTGGGGCTATGACAGGATCAGGGGAATGTGGTAGGGAAAGGGGAAGTGCAAGTGGCGGGGGTGAAAGTCTTTCCAGGGGAAGCAGGGGCTCTGGGGGCTGAGAGGTGGTGATGGAGGTGGGTGAGCACTGAGGATCTGAACAGGGTGCTGACCAGCCTGGTGATGGAGAGGAGGCCAGATGTAGAAGGTGCTGAGTGGGAGGAGCAGGGGCAGCTTCTGCTGGAGACAGAGCTGCAGCATCCGCCTGCTCCTTGGATGGCTGCATTGCTGTCACAGGTGGACTTGTGCGCACAGCAGCGGGGAGATCTTGATCATGGAGCATCCTTGGGAGGCTACAATGAATAGAGGCTTAGCTGCAGCCAGAGCAGGGTCTGGAGGAAGGGCAGGGCAGGGAGCTGTGCCAGGGCTCCTCCACTGCCCTATATCAAGGCCTCACTGTTCTCTTGCTACCCACCCTTTGCCCCAGGGCCTTAGCATCCCCCTATTCCAGGATCATCCCCTCCCAGGTCAGATGGAAGCTGCTCGATGACCCTGCGGTCACACCACAGGAAGGACACTGAGAGAAGGGGAGTTCTTTACCTTTCTGGCACAGGAGTCAGGTTCTGGGTCTCCTTCCGGTGTTTCTGGAAGCCTACAAATGGGAATTAGGAGCCCAGGTTATGAGAGCTAAGGGCAGCGAAGGGATTGGGGAGTCTACAGGAGCTGCATGAGACGTCCCCTTAGAAGAGATCTGTGCCACTGGACTCTGGAGCCCAAGCACCAGTGTCAAGGTCCTATGGCCCAGGCAGATACCGCTTCATGGTATCCACATGAGCAGTGCTAGATCAGTATAAAGTGCTTCCATAGCCTTTGCCCATTATGGTCCTTTTAGAATTGTGCTGTGGTGGAAAAGATAGGGTTGCTTCAGGAAGAAATCAGCTATAGCCAAAGGAAACAGCTGGGCCTCAGTTGGACCTTGGTGCACCTCCAAGTCTGGGCTGTGTTGTTCCACTGCTGGCTGCACTGCCCCCTACTGGGCGACACCTTCCATTGGCCCATCACAGCTTCCTTCTGAGCAGGGAGCCTGAGGAGCACTAACCTCCTGATTCCGTTCCCAGGAGCCCCTGTCTCAGGGCTCTGCAGCTGACATTCTTGATCCCCCAAGGATAGGCAAGTCACCTTAGTTCTGGTACTGCAGGACTGAAAGGCAGAGCCTTACCTCTAAGAGCGCCAGACCTCTTTCTACTCCTGCTCTTCCACCTCATCTGCAGTGGATGCTGAGAGAAGGAAAATAGTGAGAAGCCCTGGCTTGATTTTCCTTTCTCAGATAGGCTACAGACCATGAGTATTTATGAATGTTATGATAGTTGACATTGAATTGATGGAGCCTGTGTTTTTTCTTTCCTGTTACTCATTTTCATAATAACAGTATTTTTTTTTTTCAGTCCTTTTAGAAACACACAGGGTTTTCTAACATGAGCTCCCCATAAGGGGTGCTCTATTCTCTGCTCAAAAAACCACCTTAGGGCTGGCCAAATAGCTCAGTGGATTAAAGCTCCTGCTTAGGCAGTCTCAGGGGCTGGGAGTTCAATCCCCTGGCTTGCCATGCTGACCCTGGCCCCTGGGCACCCTGAGACAGCAATTAAGACCAGGTGTGATGGCATGTACCTGTAATCCCAACACTTGGGAGGCTGTAAACAGGAGGATCACTGAGTCTGATCTATGCAGTGAGATTCTGTACACCCTCTATACCCTGTCCTAAATACAAAAAAACAAAAAACAAACAAAAATCTCAGCTACCAGAGACCAGAGGTGGCTGCAGCATGGGATGGGGCTAGACTTTTGGTGGGCCCTCAACATAGCCCTCAGATCAGCCCAGCACAGAGCAAATGCTGGGCCCAGAGGTATGTGCCCTGAGACAGGGACATGAACCAGTACTCAGGGCCTGGCCCTCTCCAGAGCTCCCCACCTCTCAGGAACCCAGTCCTTATCCACCAAGTAATCATGTTCTGTTTCACACTGGCACTTCCAACAAATGGCACAGAGGTCTGTGAGCATCACACAGATGTCCTGGTACCCATTTCCCCACCTTGTCCACTTGCCCCTAAAGAAGGATGTTTTCCAATGAAAACCACACCCAGACACATAATAATCAAGATTCCAGAAATTCAGCATAGGAACAGTATACTAAAAGCCGCTAAAGAAACAGATCACATTTAAAGGAAAACCCATCAGAATAATGGCAGATTTTTCTTCACAAACCATCAAGTCAAGAAGAG